GAAAACTCATAATATGCACATCTTCATTGCTTTTAGCACGTTGAACGATAATAATCAATGACTGGTGACCCTTGTTGTTGTTGCTAGTGAATGGGTTTTATTTATAGCAAATGATCGGAGAACACATGTGGGGTGAACTTCTGAATACCGATAGTCACGTTTTCTAATGGAGAGTTGCCAGTGAATGGGTTTTTAGATTCGTAACCGACATCCGCCCTGACCTTTAAGAGCTTGGAACCAGTGCTGCTCCTAGCCTTCAGGGTTTTCAAAGCATCGAAGTTAGGAGAGAATCCTTTCGGGGTTTTGTTGTTTCATGAGGAAACTTGAGGGAAGAAGTGTGAAACACGGTTGACTAGAAGAGAGGCCATGGATGTGCCTACCGTTCATCTATAGACGCCATTAGTTTTTTGTTTTGCACCTCTTTTTCAGATGAAGGTGTTTTATTTCAAAGGGTAATTTTGATATTTTCAAAAATTTTAAATTATACATGATGTCACCTAATATATATATATATATATATATATATATATATATAACTGATGGGTATTAAATTGGTAAGCTTTTAAAGTTTGAGTACTGGATTAGCAAGTTCTAATGTTCTGAGACTAAAATGACACTAGACCCAAAATACAGGGTATTAATCTGGAATTTTTCCTTAATTATTAAACACTAGTGAGATTTGTGAAGGTTTTTATTGTGAGCGTTTACCTTGGCCAATATAATTACCTTTTTTTATTCTCAACTAAACCTAGCTTTGTCCCAATTGCATGGGAATGGGGTAGGCTACATTAAATTTGCTCAACTATTCATTTTTGGTCAGTGCCACATCCTCTCATACGTTCTAAATTAAGTGCAAGGTTTATGTGGTGTTAAATGTAATGGATGCAAACATGAATTCTAATAAAGCATATATTTTTTTTTTAATCAAAAGTCCACTTGAATGCAAATTTATTTTATTTTTATTAATGCACTTTTACATATTATTATCAATGTAAATATACATGTCATTTGTCAATGCATAAATGTAATGTTGTCAAATACAGGCAAAAGTAAATCAGAATGTAAATTTACCCTAAATCGGAATTTATACTCCATTTATATCATTTCCAAAAAAGACGAAAACAAATTTATATGATGTTTTAAATCAAATATATAAAAAAAAAGGAAAAACAAAACAGATCTGCTACTACTCAAATTTGTAACAATGAGATGATAATAATAAAACAAAAAAACTAAAGTTCCGGCAACCTGTGACCTGTCTTCACAGAAAATTTCTCAGAGACCCTAAGTCCTTTACCCGATTACCCTGATTACTTGGGTGGAATCTCTGATACTCAAGATAGACGATGAAAATGCACAAAGATCATAAGGCCAAACTAGAATAGTAGCAAAGTGGGTAATATGATGTATCCTCATGTTTCATATTGGGTTTTTTGCCCTTCTATAAAGGAGGGGTCCCCAGATGGAGGAGCGACAGTCCTTGATCAACTCTTGATTCTTATCTGAAACAGCCTCTTTACTCGGTCGTCAATTTTCATAATAGATGCACATATGTTTCTACTTTCTAGTTCAGCGCTCTTCATCAATTATGTCTATGAATTTTCCACGTTGCCCTTGGCTCGGGCCATGTGGCGCCCTTATATTGGTAGTCGATATTTGGCCTGTTGGCCATATCAAACCCATAATATTCTCATTCCTTTCCATGTTGTCTAGTAATAGTTAGTAATAGCTGAAGTTGATGTATTAAGCGTACATTTGGTTTGCAGTTGGAATCGGAGTCAAAATTCTTTGGAATTGGAATCAGAATGTTCTATGTCCAATCTGTTTGGTTCAGATAAAAATGGGAATGGGAATTAGAATCAACAATAATAAGATTTTATTACCAAGGGAGGGACAGGGAATGGCCATTCCCTCAATGGGAGAATGCCATTCCAACATGAATGGGAATGTGATTCTGATTCTGCCCAACTAAATAGTTGGAATCGGAATTAACGCAATCCAATTCCGCTTCCAGACCCCTATACCTGTGAACCAAATGGGGCCTAAATGATTTATCGTTGTATTTTTGTGAATTATTGGTGGCGACCTGTATGAATTTTGTTAAAATGATTCGAGGCAAAAGGCTAGGGAGTGCAATTTGGGTGGGCCCAACCCAAGCCCAATCGGCTCGACCAAAGCTTTTGCATAGGTTGGGCTTAGGTTGAATCCTTGAGTAGCCCAAGCCTGACCTGATCTAATTTGAATCGGCCCAACATTTTATGTTCTACTAGAAAATTGGGCTATAAAGCTCAACACACCTAAAGCCCAAGCCTAGCCCGAGATGTTGGGTTAAGCTCGGGTTGGGCTTGAGTTGGCCCTCAATCCGACCTAACCCACCCAAGTTGCAACCAAATAAAGAGCATTTTGACACTCCTAATTGCATTAATTTTTATTTTTACTAAATTATTTTAATTTTTACTAAAATTTTATTTAGTATTATTTTTGTTATTTTTAAATGGATTATGATATTAAAAATAATAATATGTAAATTTAAAACTAATATTTTTTTAATTTCATAAACAAATTTTAGTATCATTTTAATTTTTAAATGAAATTTAAATAGATATCAAATCATATAATATTTAATCTTGAAACAAAAACTTTCCTACTTTTTTGTTGTTTTATTAACAAAACATGTATTAATTTGTATTACTTTATTTTTAAATAAAACTTGTAATTAAGTTATAAGTTGTAATTAAGTCATAATTTTAAATAAAGTCTTGTATCAATAAACATGTATTAATTCGCATGATTTTTTATCTATAATTTTTATTACATTATTAACTTAGTTAATTAACTAATTGAATAAGCTTCAGTAATTGAGTTAGAAATAGTTGACTAATTGTATAATTATCTTATTATCTAATTATTATTCTTTTTAATTATATAATCATTTTCTAAGTTAACTAAATTTTTTAAGCTAGTTAATGTAATTTAAAAAACTTAATTAATAATTTCATACTTTAATTAATAAAATAAGTTAATTAAATATAAGTAATTGATTAAATAACCATGAGAAGGTTAGGTGTAGACAAAGTTAACTAATAACTAATTAATTAATCTTGGTTAACTAATTTAATTTAATTAAAGTAGTGATGTTAATTAATTTAGATATTGACTTTAAGTAGGTCAATGAAATAAATCGAATTAAAAATTATTTATTTTCAAATTTAACTAATTGAAAATTATGTAATTAATAACTTAATTATGTTATCATTAATTAACTAAGTAGTTTAATACTTGAAAATAGTCAAAAAGGTCACTTGTGATGGTAATTGGGATGATCCTCATTTGTCTTTAAACAAGTAAATATTAACCTGAAATGGAATAATGCATATAACCATATAGATAGATGTATTAATTAGTTGGGTTAACCCTCCTTGTTAGTTGCTAAACGGGTCAATATGGACTCAAAATGATTATCTCCTTCACCCTTATATTTAAAAACGGCTATATTTAGCAGGTGTTTTTTTTTTTCTTTTTTAAGTTATGTAAAACTGCAACATCCCACATGATTAGATAGGGTGGGGATTAATAGAAATATCCAGTTGGAGGATGGAGAGTCAAGTCCACACCCCGCCGTGACCCTGATTATATACATTAGATATATGTGTATGCATATTATATTAAATAATATAAATATTATTTGTGTTATTTATAATATATATATCAAAAGATATTTGAAATAATTTTTGCAAATTTAGTTTCATTTATTTTAAATAAATACCTTTATGAAAACAAACTTTTAATTAAAAATTTGGGGATTCGGGTCCCTGATGGAGAATTCGTCTCCATTGGGGGGGTGGGGATGCATGCCACTTTTTTTCTCGACAAGGATTGGGGTCAAAGAAGGGGATTAATTTAAAACTTGGGGTCTAGATTAGGGGTATCATGGGCCGGGCCGGGCTTTGCACTTATGGTAAGGGCTATAGCTTAGGCCCGGGCCTGGCCCAGCCCGGGGTTTCGAGCCTGAAACATAAGCCCTATCCTAGGTCTACACGGGCTTAGGCCTGATTTTGGGCCAATGTCTTTCATATATATAACATTATATATCTATAATATTTTATATTAAATGGCATAACATTAATTCTTATAAACTTATTTTATACATTATATAATATAAAATATTACATATAATCTAAATTATACATGTCATGTTATAATATTTATATATAAAATGTATAATCTAATGTAAAATAACATGTATACATATGTATACATTATACACAAAATATATAAGTTTAAATATATGCGGGCCGAGCTAGGCTCGAAGTATTAAGTCCAAGCCGACTCTAAAATTTGCGGGCCTAAATTGGGGCCGGGCCCAAGCCGGGTCTGAACACAAAATTCAGGCCCAAGCTCGAAATTTAATAAAAATTGTAAATTATAATTATAAAAACTGAACTAAACAATTTAAGAGTTAATTTCCCAAAAAATTAATAAAAATTGAAAATTATAAAAATAATTTATTTTATCCACCTTAAATGATTTATATGTTTTATTTTAAAATTATGTGTAAAATAAACAATTGTGTGTTAAAAATAAAATATATTTATTATTTAAAAAATAGAGGTTATTTATATAAAAATACTAAATATAAATTTCCCAAAAAAAATAACAAAAATTGAAAAATATAATTATAAAAAACTGAAATGTTGTGAAAATTATTGTATGATATATACATCTCCCAAAGTCCCAGTATTGTTGATTATAATGTTTGTCTTCATATAACAAGTATACATTTTTCATGTATTTATATCTCATTTATACTTAACACAGCTTTAGATTTAGTATTATTAACATATTTATTGATTTGTATGCATTTTCCTAATATATTAAAACATTTTCATATCTTTCCTCCCTTGTTCCCAACCGTATCCGTATCGGAACTGTCTAATACGAGATACCGATATCCGTATCGGAACTATAACGACCACCGCTCAAATACGAGTTCCCTTCTTCCTTTCTAATTTCTATTTTCTGCACCATCGTTATAGCCCGTTTGTCGAAAAGGAAAAGTTGTTAGATCCCAGGTCGAAGAGATGGAACTAAAACCAGGTTTATCGGCTCTTGTAACCGGGGGAGGCTCAGGAATCGGTAAATTATTCAGCTCTTTCATTCTGATTATCTTGATTATAAAAAGATATATTTTCCTTAAGCTATACGCCATATCTATATGCCTCCAATTGACAGAAAATGTTCAGATACAGAGTCAAATTCTTATAGTAACAGATTACGATCATCCCAATAAAATTGGTTTTTGAATCATTATTCCGTCAGCTCTGTGCTGAAAACAGTTGACACATATGCTTTGGTGCTTTGGTCATCATGTATAATAACTGTTGTTTGGCGCGGAAAGACTTGTTTAAACGCTTAAATTTGGGAGCTTACCATCTTATCTGTGGTACTAAATCAGGGATTTGACCTTTTTTAGACTAAGGACTGTAACATCGTGAAAAGGTCTGCAGTTTCATGGTTACACAGTTCAATTTCGAACCAAGAGACTATTGTACTGAATTTGTACTAGTCTGTTATTTTCAAATATGGTGCATATGTAAACTGTCTGAATCTGATCAACTAAGAGCCCGAGAGATTGGAAAGCAGATGGATATAAAATATAGACACAAATTCGATTTGTTTATGTATCTGGCTATTTGATACATATCTGATCTGATTAAAATATCAGTGCGTTCATCTAAGGTTGAAATAAATTCATAAAATTAAATATAAAGCAAAAATATGTACCATAAGTGGAAAAAATAAGTATTATCTAAATTCCAAATCCAACTTAGAGTCATCAGACTGCCATTATTAGCTTGTTTAGGAATGTTATCCTTCTATTCACCTATGTTTAGGAATGTTATCCTTCTATTCACTTTGGAGTCGGCAGATTATCATTATTAGCTTGTTTAGGAATGTTGTCCTTCTATTCACTTATGCCTTTTCTTTTTGTCCCTTGACTCTTATACATGTTCATTATTATTAATAAAATCCCATTGTTACTGATAAATGGAAAAAGCAAAAAATGCGATTACTTAACTTGGTAGGAAGTAAAACACTTCTCTGGATGTCATGGTTGCAAACATTATAGACTAGCATATTTTATGGTGATTAGGCACTATGTTGTCTCCTAGATTCATCTTCTTCTCATTCTCTTTCATATAAGTTTAATCTTTTGTGATGGTTTTAGTGGAATGGTATTAGCATATTACTAAAAGAGGGTAGTCGTTGTTCTGCTATATAAAGGGGATTATTCCATGCCTTTCTTTGAAAACTCCAAACCTTCTTCTTTCCATTTAAATCCCTGTAGTTTTATCTTAATCCACCTTTCTCAATCCACCTGCTATTAGCTTTATATGTCCCATTTAAATCCCTGTAGTTTAGTCTTTTTTTTTGACCAAGCGTTGTATAATCTTTATCTCTTTCTTTCAATCTTTTTTTCCCTTTTAATTGTTCATGATTATAGGCAAGCTCACCCCACTATACATGCTATTCTATGAGCATTAATTATCTTTTGGATCATTGATCATGTTTTATTGTTGTTTATGATACAAAGTAGAAAGCATTTGTAGGGTGTAACAAATTTATAATGTAGTGAATTTACAGGATTCTCTCTCCACTCTTTTACTTATAACACAAGTATTTATCAAGTACCAATTGACCCATCCTTGTATAGAACTATCTCTTTGGAAAACTTCAAGTGTTAAACTAAAAGAAAAAAGGTTAAACCTTGAAGACCTAATTGCTTTTTTCCGAGAATGTTGGAAGATTCTGAAGGGTGGTGTAATGGAGGTATTCTTGGGTTCCATGACAGAGGAATGATTAATCCTGGAGTGAATGCAACTTCTATAACCCTTATTCCAAATACACCAAATGCCAAGCCATCCAAGAGACTATAGGCCAATCAGTTTGGTGGGAAGTTTTTATAAAATCATAACCAAGGTGCTTGCCTTAAGGTTGTAAGATGTTCCATCAATCATCTCACAGTTCCAATGGCTTTTATCTAGGGCTGCAAATCACAGACCAAATCCTAATAGCCAATGGGAAAACACATATGACTGTGTATTTGTCATTTTTTGGAGAAATATTAGAGAGTTTTCGATTTAGGGCTAATTGGCAAAAGTGGATCAAGGGTTGCTTAAATTTTAGTATTTGATTTAGTAAATGGGATGGTGAAAGACTTCTTTTTTCCAACCAAGAGATGATTAAAGCAAGGTTATCCTCAATCTTCCTTTCTCTTCACCCTCATTATGAGTATTTTTAGTCAATTAATCTCAAGGGCAGAAAGATGCTGTCTAGCTAAGGGTTGGAGAATAGGCAGGGGAAATTGTGGTGACACATTTGCTATTAGCAGATGATGTCATCCTATTTTATGAAGATGAAGGGGAAATGAGGGCAAGAAACTTATATCTCCTGATTAGTTGCTATAAAAGAATATCAAACCTGAGAATTAACTTAGAAAAGAGTTGAATTGTGGGCTTCAATATTGGTGAGGTGGAGGTAGAGAAACTTGCTGCCCTATTAGAATGTTCAGTGTTTTGTTGGCCTATGAAATATCTAGGTCTTCCCTTRGGGGGAAATCTTAGACTGAATAACTTATGGAACCTTGTGGTGGGTGGATTCACTAAAAAGATGACCTCTTTGGAAGAAAAGCTACATATCATTCATTGGTAGCATTACATTAATAAAGCTAACTTTGACTAACTTCCCTATTTATTACTTGTCAATGTTCAAGAGTGCAGATTTCAAAAGGGCTACAGAAAATCATGAGAGGCTTCCTATGCGAATCTGGGAAAACCAAAAGGGATCACTTATAAATTGGGTCATAGTAAGAAAAAGTAAGGAGGAGGGAGGTCTAGGTGTGGGTAAAATTGTTGAAAGGAACAAAGCTTCGTTGGGACGATGGCTTTGGTTATTTTCTTAGGATGTAGATAAAATTTGGTACAATGTGATTGCAACATCCATGGGATGCTAGAGTGGCTACAAGATCCTCAATTACCTCTCTTTGTAAAATTATTTAAGGTTTGCTTCCTATGTTCTTATAATATATTCAATATGATGTTTGATTCAGGAATAAAATTAGATCCTAGGACCTTCAAAAGATTGTCTCCTAGGTATATAGTTCACCTCTTCTTATAAGTGTTAACTTATACCTCATTGTGCTACAAGATTTGAAAGGGATTTTTCTTGGGATTTGGGTTCAGAAGATGTATAATATATTTTGAGATAATGGAGGCTATTAATTTAGTGATTTTGTCCTGCAATTCCCCTAAACCTAACTGTTGTATTTGGACTACAACTCCACCAGGCCTCTTTACTTGTGCTTCCTCTTTTAAAGTGCTTTCTGGCCCCCTCCCCTTTGTAGGCATTTCCAATAAAGTCTATTTGGAATGGGCTGATCTTGCCAAAAATTAGGGCCTTTTGTTAGGAGGTGTATGCGTGACTGTGAGAGATTACTAAATGAATTCCTAATTGGTGTCTTTCATCTCATATGTGCTTTCTTTGCAATCCAAGCTGTAAATGTACTCATCACATACTGATCTCCTGCCTGTTTGGAACTAGCATTTGGGAGTCCGTCTTTTCTCTCTTTGGTTGTTGGAGGACCCCCCTGATGATGTAGAAAGCCTATTTAAGTCCCTGCTTTTCAAAAAGAGAGGGAAGATTATGGGAAGGTGCACAAGGACAGCGGTACTTTGTTCCATATGGGAAGAAAGATGTACACACAATTTTTATGAAAGAGAACCATCAGGGGAAGCTGTTGTTGCTAACATGTTAATCAAAGTAGTGCATTGGTTAGAAACCCTAGAAATTGTTGACCCTTTCTCTATAGATGATACCTTAGGGGATTGTAGCAAGTGGCATATTCATCCTCACCCATATCAATAAAAGAAAAAAAAAGAAGAAGTTCAACCACAGCCAGACCAATAGCAAAGATGGATTGGAGTCCTCCAGCTTTAGACCACACCAAACTCAACTTTAATGGATGCAGCATGGATAATGTAGAAAATTCTGGTGTAGGAATTTTCAGAAACAGTGATGGGGCTATTCTTCTATCTACTCAGGTTCCATTGGCGTGGGGGACTCAACAAGAGCAGAACTATTAACGGTCTTGTGGGGTTAAGACTGGGCAGATTCCTTAATCAAAGGAATGTGGTGGTGGAAGGGGATTCCCACTTTGTAGTTGGTTGGTTAAAAAACCATAACCAGATCTGAAGGCAAAATAGGCACTTCATGAGGGAGGTAACCAATCTAATTGAGGGAACTAAGATGTTCAAACATAAGGGTCCCAAGATTTGCAAACTGTTTTGCTGATTTGTTTGCCAAATAAGGGGTGAACTGAACTCTTTTGGGAAAACATTTCATAGTGAATGATGTAATCTGTAGTAGCACTGCCTAGCCTAACATATTTGAGTCCCAAGCTATCTGATGCAGATAATTCATTCTTTAACGCATATTCAATAAAAATTTTCACTGTTGTTGATAATAAAAGAGAAAAAAAAAGAGAGCACCCTGATCAGCCTTTTTAATTTTTTTTTGTTTTACCTTAACCGTCGCTTTCAACCTTGTTAATTTTCTGCTGCTTTCTTGAAAAATCAAAACATTATTAACTTCCATGAATAAAAACTGCAGTTATCAATAAAAAAGTACATATCTTACCAATCAAAATTTCTTATGTTACCAACAAAAAATGTACACTAGTTAAGAAAAATTTACACTAATTTTCTTTTCATGAATTGGAGTTGGTTTTCTATTGTTTTTCTTAATTTATCCTTATTCATGATTGAAGCAACTTCCAATTTGCTATATTCATTTTTTATTTCCTTTCAAACACCTTACAAATGCATTGTGACTGTTTAATTGTCATTAATTTTTTTCTAGATCAGTAAGCATGAATTTTATTTAACTTTCATTTGTTTCCATTTGCTGCATCCTTTAGTTTTCATTGTCATTAATTTTGTATAGATGCATACTTGCATTAGTATCTTATTGTATGGTGTTGATGGTAATATGGTATATAAGCAAAACASTTAACTTGGCTTTTGGAAAGGAAGGCATTTTTTGTATATGTGCATACTTGCATTAGTGTCTTATCATATGGTGGTGATGATATATAGGTAAGGCACTTTGCTTGGCTCTTGGAAAGGAAGGCATTTTTGTGACAGTTGCAGATTTATCTGAAGAAAAGGGAAAAGAAGTTGCTTCATTGGTTGCAAAAGAGAATGCCAAGTTCCATCCCAAGCTAGAATTTCCTTCAGCTATGTTCATTAGGTGTGATGTGACTAATACTAGTAAGTTAATTGTTATGTTTCATGTACTGTTAGTGGTCTTGATATTACATTTAGCATTAATGAGTTCATTTGGGTTGTTGACTTTGGTAATCACTGCTGACTTACTTCAACATGTAACTAAGAAACCTCCAATTGAGGTGGTCAAATGCCTTTTCCATATCCACCTTGCAGATCACTCAAGCTTGGCCACTCTTAATTAATGAGTCAATTAACTTGTTGGCTCTTAAAATCCCATAAAAAATTTGGTGTTCCTCCACAAAATAGGTTTGATGAATGGATTTTGGGGMATGCTGTTTGCTTGGGTATGAATTTTCAGATGAAACATGCTTCAAGAAATTTCTTACTGTCTTACATGCATGGCAAAGAAAAATAGGTTTGAAACTATGTAATTTAGTTTCTCATCCTCTTCCTCTAAAACTTTGTTTCTTTAATTTAGTTTCTCCTAAATCCCTTTTTTATTGGTTTTGTTTCTAAGATGATACAATGGGTTTATGTTTCTTTGTGTGTGTGTGTGTGGAGGATGCTGAGTTTAATATGATATTAGGTGATGCCTTTAAAATAGCTAATTGACCTTACCATTATGAATAGGAGAGACAGCTGCTGCTTTTGAGAAGCATTTGGAAACATATGGAGGGCTGGATATCTGCATCAACTCTGCTGGAATAAGCAATCCTTTACCCTTCCATAAAGATAAAACTGATGGCACTGGTTCATGGAGACATACTATACATGTAAACCTGATAGGAGTTATTGATTGCACTCGCCTTGCGGTATGCATAAATCAAACTTGACTTTCCTAGTTTACTTAATTCTATAGATGCTCCAAGATCCCCTCCAACCAATAGGTTTTTGTAATAATGTGTTTTGCCAATTTCAGGCCTTTTCAAAACAGCCAATAGTTCCCTTGTTGAATTGCTATGACATATAGGCCTAGAAAAGATAGCCATTATGCTCCCTTGGCTGTTGTGGAATACTTTCCATATTTTTGAGCAGTGATATGTAATGCTATTCTACTTGTTTTCCATTATTCCATTTCTTGCAACCTTTAATAACAGTAATTGTCATGTTATTCTTAAATGTATATATAATATACAAAAGATCCAGTCTGTCATAGATAATGTATATATGATGGAGGACAAAGGGGCTAATTTTACCAAACTGTAACTTGAGGGCGGAAGAGAGATTGAGAGATGGAGATAAGATATAAGATAGTGGAAGGTGCTTCTAAAGTATGAGTATTAAGATTTGCCTGTTTGTATGGGAGTGTGTGGCTATTGAAAAACTGGAGAAAAACTTATTCTGATGGTAAATAATGAAATGCAGATCATGTTGCCACCATGGAGTGGGGAAATCAATGGTAGGGGAGGTTGATAGGATAAAAATGAGGGAAGTACAAACTATATTGCCTTCGCCGGAAAAAAGGTTTGAGAGTGGTCTGAAAGGGAAATAGCATTGAAAAAAGAGGCACAGGAGAACTTTCCTAGGTTAACAATARTCTAGATTCTCTTAGCACTCACACTAGGGTCCAATAAACACCATCAAACAATTCTAGTAGCGAACTGAGTTCTGGAATTTCAAAATAAATAAGTCTCTATGAAGGCCATGGTCCCATGAATTAGTGCTACTAGAAAAGGTTACAAAGGAGGCTATGGAGTAGTTCTTGAAATTGGAGAATTTCATCATCTATATTAGTATCATCTAACTAATAAATGCAAAGATGAAATTGACTGAGATGCTAGGGAAAGTGAAAAAACTTAGCATATAAAGTTTAATAGACTCTAAGCATTAGTTAGGTTTCTTTTGAAGATGTATAAGAAATACTTTTGACTACATAAAAACAAAAAAGTTTTCCATCAAACAATTCTAGTAGCGAACTGAGTTCTGGAATTTCAAAATAAATAAGTCTCTATGAAGGCCATGGTCCCATGAATTAGTGCTACTAGAAAAGGTTACAGAGGCTATGGAGTAGTTCTTGAAATTGGAGAATTTCATCATCTATATTAGTATCATCTAACTAATAAATGCAAAGATGAAATTGACTGAGATGCTAGGGAAAGTGAAAAAASTTAGCATATAAAGTTTAATAGACTCTAAGCATTAGTTAGGTTTCTTTTGAAGATGTATAAGAAATACTTTTGACTACATAAAAACAAAAAAGTTTTCCATTAGTGCTTTGTGATATATTGTAATTTGGTTTTAGCCATCAATTTTATGGTTAGTGTGCAGCTTCTGGGCTTCATATTTTTTTTTTTTGTGATCAATAGCTGAAATTTCATTAAAGGTTAATAAAGAAAGTATACAAGACAACCAGAGAAGGGAGAGATAAGCTCTCTTAACTCTCCCTAAGAAAGTTAGGTTTCTGGGCTTCATATTCTTCAATGTCTAGGTTTTCTGATCTGTTAATTTCAGCTTTCATTTTGAATCTCAAAAAAATTAGGGTGATGTTTAGAATGCTCATTTATTTTGTTATTTTAAGTTTTGCATTGTCTAAATACGGGAAGGTTATGTGGTGGTTGCCATGTCACTTTGTCAACAGATTCAAACCATGCAAACTGCACAAAAGCCTGGTGTTATTATAAATATGGGATCTGCTTCAGGTCTTTATCCTATGTATGGTGACCCTATATACTCTGGGTCCAAAGGTTTGTTTCTTTCTCTTTCTACCACTGGCTTTTCTTTCCCCTTAATCTCAAAGTTTTTTTGTCAATTTTTCTTGTACTTTTTTTGATGCAAATGCTGCCTAAATTGCTTGACCTGTATGCTGCAAAACACAAAGAACAATACAAAGATCCTTTTTTTAAATGAGATTTGCTTTGGTTTCTAGTCTCATGAGATTACACTTTCACAGGTGGTGTGGTTTTATTTACTAGATCACTTGCTCCATACAAGCGTCAAGGAATTCGTATCAATGTGCTTTGCCCTGAGGTAATAGTTAAGTTTGAATGATTATAATTATTTCCAACTAACAGAAGGAAAATGTTTTTTTTTTCAATTCCTGATGAGCGTTTTTAACAGAATCCAATCTAATAAATATTTTAACTCTTTTGAAAGTGTTACAATTCTGCACTTTGTTSAGACCTTCAACATGATTACATGAGAATGCTAATTCTTCTGTGCTCTTGTCAGTATATTGAAGTTACAATCGTGATTTCTTGTATTAAGTTAGTATATAACATGCTTATATTGGATAATTAGTACATAAACAGCCCTTGCCAATTCCTTCTTGGATCTTTGATGCTAGTCTGAATGGTTCAAACAGGTTTTATCATGTTATGGGGCCTGTCATACCAATACACTTGATTGCATCTGACTTTCTTCACTAGTTCTTATTTTGTTGTCTACCTCTATTTTTTGTGCTTTCTGGTTGTAACTTTGGTCTTTATCATTTCACTAAGAGATTTACTTCAATGATTGAAGAGGGAAAAAAGCAAGAGGGAAACATATTCCATCTAGACACATTAAACAAAGAACTTTTTTTTTTTATAACAAAATAAAAAATTATTGAGAAACATAAAAGGTTATAAAGCAAAGGATAAAATAGAGATTACACTTAGTAGAAATCTGCTGAATCAAAAGACGTGTAAAGAAGAAAAGAAAAGAAGTATTTCTTGTGGAAGAAGAGAAAGAGAAGAGAAGAGAAGAAGTTGAGAAAGAAAGAGAGAGCCAATCAGATCTGGCCGTCCTCTCCATTAGTATTTGTACTTTAATTAAAAAAGAGAGTACAATGACTAATATGCCCTTATAGGGCGACTAACACAAAAACTGCATAAAAAACTTAAAAACATCACTCCAAAGGGTCTCAACAAGTGTTCTGTGGTCCCCACTTCCTTTCTAAACAAATAATTAACAAAATTAACTAAAACATTTGCAGAAGTCTGCACAAAATCCTTAATACTCCCCCTCAAGTTGGGAGTAAATGTCACACATTCCCAACTTGCGTAGGTCATGTTCAAGCTTGTTCTTTGTATCCCCTATGGTGAAGACATCAACTAACTATAACTTAGAGGAGACATAAGGTATGTAGACTTCTTCGGCTGTCACCTTTTCTCTTATGAAGTGTCTATCAACCTCAATGTGTTTTGTTCTGTCATGCTGAACTGGATTGTGGGCAATATTGATTGCAACTTGGTTGTCACAATATAACATCATGGGTTCCTCTTCATCTATCCCAATCTCACTCATCAAGGATCTAACCCAAAGTAATTCTGAAACACAATGGGCCATAGATCTATGTTCATCCTTTGCACTTGACCTTGCCACCACTAGCAGTTTTTCACTCTTCCATGAAACCAGATTTCCTCCCACAAAGGTGCATGCCCCTGATGTAGATCTCCTGTCATCTATACAACTTGCCCAATCTGCATTTGTATAGGACTCTAGTTTCAAATTCCCATGATCTGAGAATAAAATTCCTCTGCTAGGATGCTTCTTTAGGTATGCAAGTATCCTATCAATGGCTTCTCGGTGCTGAAGAGGAGCATGCATATATTGACTCACAACACTCACAACATAGGAAATATCTAGGTGTGTCATACATAAATATAGTAGCTATCCTATCATCCTCTAATGTCTCCCCACATCCTTAACCAACTCACCATTCAAAGCATTAATCCTGTAGTTTGGATCAATAGGAGTATTAGCTAGTTTAACTCTTAGCTTCCCAGTTTCTTGTAGTAGGTCCAACACATACTTCCTCTAAGAGATGAATAGCCCATGCTTGGATCTTGCAACCTTAATCCCCATAAAATATTTTAGTTCACTTAGATCCTTAATCTCAAATTTTTGTTGTATTGACTTCTTGAGTGCATTAATCTCCCTCAGATCATTCCTTTCAACAACTATATCATCCACATACACAATCAGTACCGCCACAAGTGCTTCTCTCCTCTTTACAAAGAGAGTGTGATTTGACTGGATCTGTGTGCATCCAAAATGGAAAATGCCCCCCTAAAGCTGTCAAACCATGCCCTAGGTGACTGTTTCAATCCATATAGTGTCTTTTTCAGTTTGCAAGCTTTTCCTTCACCAACATTCTCATAAAAAGCCAATTGGAAGGTCCATGCGTACCTCCTCCTACAAATCACCACTAAGGAATGAGTTTTTAACATCAAACTGGAAGAACAACCGCGAGTAAGTAGCTGCTAGAGACAAGAGGATCCAAATTGAGCTCATCTTAGCTATTGGTGCAAAGGTCTCCAGATAATCTATACCATAGGTCTGTGTATACCCTTTTGTAACCAACCTCACCCGGCAGCAGCAGCAGAGCGGGGCCCACACGACAGCTCATAGGGGTGGGCCCACCCTTATCTGGACACGTCAAGCCAACTCGCCGCCAACTTATCTTATCCCTTATCCCTTATCCCTATCTTATCC